TCCTATGCCTGGGTGAGGACATTCAAAGTCACACAACACTTCTAACCTCTGCATCCGGCCAGCTCTTGGCTTCACCATTGACCTTGTAGCAAAACCCATTCATGGAGAGCCAACCATTGGCACAACCTTTCACTCCTATGTGGGAAGAGAGAAAGTCCAATGAGAAGGTGGCCAGGAGAAAAGGAGAAGGAGGGGGAGACAGCTGGGTCTGCAGAACGTTCTTAACCTGTTGGGTTGCAAAAATCTTTGATGACAATTAATTGCAACTGATTTGGGTTACAGACATAGTGGCTGCATTTGCAAATTTTCTAAATTTGGTTAGGATTGTTGTTCATCAGTGGCTAAGTCACGTCTGACTCTTCACAACCTGATGGACAATAGCATGTCAACCCCCCCCACCCTACCCCTGTCCTCCACTGTATCCCAGAATTTGCCCAAACTCATGTTCATTGCATCTATTTATCTCCTCCTCTGCCCTCTCCTTCTCTTTTTGCCTTCCATCTTTCCCAACATCAGGGTTTTTTTTCCCCAAGGAGTCCTCTCTTCTCATCTGGTGGCCAAAGTGTCTGAGCTTCACCTTCGGTATCTGTCCTTTCAAAGAAAGTTAGGGTTAGCTTTGGTATCATTCAGTGAACTGTGCTAAGCCAGAAATTGGATTCCTTCAAGGATCAGGCTGTTGACCGGGGCAACATATGGGAATCATGTGGTTCAGTTCTGGAGGATCTGCACTGACCTCCTGGATGAGCTGTAGCTACAAAAGGGGCTTCAGGAGAGATTATTTATGCCCCCCCCCTGCAAGGAGTGGGAAATACTAAACTTGTAATGGTAAATGCATGTATCTCTACGAACATGAGAGCTTGCTTGGACTCACCACTTATGGAGATGACCACAACCAGCAAACCGAGACTCACGAAGGAGAATCGCCCCATGGTTTTCTTTCCTTTTCTGCAGAGAGGAAAAATGGGGAAGAAGCCCATTGAAAGCCCCTTCAGGAAGGGGAACCCAACATCCAACCTAGGATCAAGTTGAGAGTTCAATAGTTTGTCCACAGTTTAGCACTAGCTTAGCTGGACCCTGCTTCTCCTGCCTTGGTCACACAACATCCTTGGTGGGTCACAGTGGATCCTGCACTGCTATGTAACAAGCAAGGGGGCCTCCTTTAGAAATGCTCTCCTATGTTTCTGCCTCTACCTTCCCTCTTTGTCTCCCTGGGAATCCCACAATAGATCCCTTGCTCCCTGCCTGAGAGACCCTCTGGTAGAACCTGGACATTGCCTGCAGCCCCCTGGAAGAGGTCCCTTCAGATGGAGAGAGGCATGCAGGAGTGATCTGATGCAAAGACCTCATCTGTCTTGTCCCCCACAGGTGGGAGAGCAGCACTCACCTGTCCTGGGTCCTTGTCTGGAGTGCTGAAGCCCAACTGAGGTGGAGGCTGAAGTAGGACGATGTTGCGCTGTGTAGAAGGAGATGGGGAGGTTGTCCTCTGCCAAGTCTTTTATACCCCTAAACCACAAAACCCACAAACGTGAACATTAGGGTGTCGTGTTGCTCTCTTTTCCCGTTAATGGCCTAAACTCCCACAGCAGTTAAAACAACACAGACACACGTGTACATAGGTTGTCCAGAAGCTTTCATAACTAGCTGTCATTTCAGCCAGGTGGTGCGTTCGACATGCTTTGTTTAGTAATATTTGAGCAATAATTGTGAGCCTGTGGTTTTGCTCCCTCCCGCATGCCTTGTGCCTAAAGCACAACGGGAGTTACACAAAGCAAGCCGTGCCTCTGGCCTTGTGCTTTTATGAGGCTGCTCTCCTGCTTAGCCCAACTATCTTATCCATGCATTTCCATGCAAAACTGGCTTTTTTTTTTGTTCCTATGTTTAGCAAAGCTGATTAATGTTTTTGGTTGCAGTCTTAATTTTCCCTCGTCACATTTGCCTCCTTGGATAGCAGTCTGCTGCAGAAGTGAGTAGAAGGGTTTATAGTGTAGGTAGAGGCAAAGCAAGGGAGGGAATGTCTTTCGAGGGGGTTGGTGGAGGGAGAGACAAATTGCTTTACTGTATAATTGACAAATTTCTGGTGATTTATCTAGATGACATCTTGATTTACTCCGAGGATGCAGAGGTGTTGCAAAGGCTGTGGGAGAATAAGCTGTTTGCCAGGCTGGAGAACTTTGACTTTGACACCTTTGACCATGGGTCTTCAAACGTGGCCCTTTTATGACTTGTGGACTTCAACTCCCAGAATTCCTCAGCCAGGCTGAGGGATTCTGGGAGTTGAAGTCCACAAGTCATAAAAGGGCCACGTTTGAAGACCCCTGCCTTTGACAATTGGACCATTTGGGCTGCAGGATTTCAACTGATGATCTCCAGATGGATCCTACCAAGGTGTAAATGATGCTATCCTGGCATATCCCCTCCCATAATATAAAAAGTGTTCAGGGTTTCTCAGGCTTTCCTAATTTTTACAGGAAGTTCATTCCTAACTTTGCACACAAGGTTAAGTCTCTCGATTGTTGAAAAGAAAACAAAGTTTGCTAGGATGGAGAGGGAGAAAACCGCATTTGAACAGTCACAAAAAAATCTTTGCTACTCAACCAATACCCTCATTCATCAAAACTGTCATTCAGACTAGCCAGTCAGCCCTAGTGAGGCCACACCTGGAGTACTGCAGCCAATTTTGGTCACCATATCACAAAAAAGATGTTGAGAGTTTGGAAAAAAATCAGAGAAGAGCAACTAAGATGATCCAAGGCCTGGAGACTAAAACATACGAAGAAGGATTGCAGCACTTGGGTCTGGCTAGTCTAAAAAAAAGAAGAAATGGGGAGACATGATAACAGTGTTCCAGTATTTGAGGGGCTGCCACAAAGAAGAGGGGGTCAAATTATTCACCAAAGCACCAGAGGGAAGGACAGAAACAATGGTTGGAAACTGGTCAAAAAGAGAAGCAACCTGGAATTAAGGAGAAACTTCCTGACATTGAGGACAATCAACCAGTGGAACAGAAGTTGCCTCCAGAAATTGTGGGCACTCCATCACTGGAGATTTTTAAGAAGAGACTAGACAATCACCTGTCTGAGATGGTGTAGGTTCTCCTGCTTGAGCAGGGGGCTGGACTAGAAGACCTCCAAGGTCCCTTCCAGCTCTATTCTATTCTATTCTATTCTATTCTATTCTATTCTATTCTATTCTATTCTATTCTATTCTATTCTAACATTGTGTTGGGAGTGGTTTTCTTACAACAACAAGAAGGGGCAGTTACTCCCCTCTGCCTTTTAATCAAGAGCATTAACACCCCCAGAAAGAAATTATGACATTATTAACAAGGAGTTGTTAGCTCTAAAAGCAGCTTTTGAGCAACGGCAGAACTGACTGGAAGATGCTTCCTTCCCAGTGGAAGTTTGTACCGAGCAGAAATCTGGAGACGTTGCAGAAAACGCAACTCCTTTCCACAAGGCAAGTGAGATGAAGCCAATTTTGCTTTGGCTTTTTATGACTTATATTTATGGGCTGTGCAATTTGTTGCCGATTGCTCTGTCTTGCAAGCCTGAGCATTTTCAGGCACAAAAGATGTTTTTAACAACCCGAGTCTGCAGGAATATTTTTGTACAGTAAGTAAGTTTATTGTGCAAGTCTGAAAGGGGCCCTCTCAGCTGCTTCTGTGGTATTGTTGGCCGTTTTCAGTTTGGCTTCTGCGTGTTGTTGTTTTGTGATTCCACCGTCTGCAGTCCAGATTTGCTCACAAAAGGGGGAACCTCTGAGGCATCTCACATGCTCAGGCACTCTCTCTGGAATAATTGATTTGCTCTGGCAGAGCTGAATGCAGTTCTTTCTCCGATAGGTGAAGGTTTTACAGGTGGAAGTGCCGGGATGATTGTGAGTCTCACACTCCCATTCTACTTTCCAACGGCTCCTCCATAAGACTGGAGACAGGTCATCCTTGTAGGGCGGGGCTAGCACATCCAGGGAAGTGGGGAGAGGGCACAGAAGAGAGAGCTGCACCTTCAGATTCAAGGGCTGCTATGGGAATGTTCTGACAAAACTTACCTCGGGCCACTGTGAGCTATGAGGCCACTTTCCTTACGTCTCAATTTGTCTATTAAACCAGAGGTCTCCAAACTTTTTCGGTTGGTGGACCGGAGGGAAAGGGAGAGAGAAGCATTTTATGCATGCGTGCACACACACACACACACACAGAGAGAGAGAGACACACACAAATGGGGCCACGAGCATGCACAGTGCAAGTGGGGTGGTGCTAGCGCCCATGTGACACTCACTAGCACCACCCTGTTTTTGCCACGAGGCACCCCGTTTTCATAGCGGCGGTGGGAGTGTGTACACACACACACGTGCGCGTGCTGGTCAGCCTGTTCCGTGGCCCAGTGGCCAGCAGGCCACGTCCCGGTAGTGGGCCGTGGCACATAGATTGGGGACCTCTGTACTAAACAGTCCCATCCATCTGAAAACTGATTTTCCCCACAAGATAACTGCATTAAGGGACAGCCTAGCCCAGATTGGTCCTTCTTAAGAGACACACTCCCTCCACCGTTAATGTCAAATCTTGTCATGCAGAGGATTCGGGGGTCTGGAGTTTTGGACCTTTAGACCTGCCAAATAAAGGAGGCCAGTCATGCTAGACAAAATTTATTTGACCTTCTGGCCCATCGGAAGGAGCAAAGTCAGATGCAAGCTACCAAAAATAAATAAAATAAAAATCCACTAAGTGAAGGAGGGCAGAGCGGAGGTATCATCAGGGCTTCTTTTTTCTCTCTAGACTTCACCAGTTGCTTCTCTCCCTCTTGAGAAGGAGGGATTTTCACTAGTATTTGCACTGGCAGACAAAAGGACGTAAGTTCTTGCAGCTGTTTAGCAGCCATTCAAGATGATCTGGGCAGAAAAAGAGAAAGTTTTGCAGTGATTTCCTGAGCCACCGAGAAGCATTTCAGTGGCCCCTCCCTCACTTGGAGGAGGACACGAGGGTAGCACAGGGGGAGACCCTCATCTGTCAAAATGAGCTTAGGGCTCAGCCTGTTGTTGCAACCCAGATAATATACTGAGCCTTTAAGCTTATTTTGTCTGGGGTTTTTAGGCTGTTCTTGTGATTGGTTTTTCATTGGACAGGACGTGTCTCAAAATTTTTTCTTCTATGCGCTCTGGGAATGGCTGAGATTTGTCTGACTACTGTGAGGTAAAAGAAAGAATAAAATAGAGTAGAGTAGAGTAGAGTAGAGTAGAGTAGAGTAGAGTAGAGTAGAGTAGAGTAGAGTAGAGTAGAGCAGAATAACAGAGTTGGAAGGGACCTTGTAGGAAAAGGTCATCTAGTCCAACCCCCCACCCAAGCAGGAGACTCCACACCATTTCTGACAGATGGCAGTCTTCCTAGAAAGATAGATAGATAGATAGATAGATAGAGTCAGACAAATCTCATCCACTCACAGAGCATATAGAAGAGAAAAATTGAGATGTGTCCTGCCCGATTAAAAACCAATCACAAATACAAGATGTCCTATGACAGGTTAAGATGGAGCTTGTTTGTCTTATGAGCTGATGGTCCTGTAATAATTTTCACAAACGTCTCCAGTTTATGAGCTTCCATTTTTAGTGGTGTGTCCCATGGACACTTTGTGTTCTCCTGATTGTACAGAGTGGACGACTGTGACAGCTCAGAGATCCCAGGGATAAATCATGGTTCACCAAGCAGCTCAGAGGGATGAAGCGACATAAGGGATGCCTGGAGCAGAACTGGAGGAAGACAAAGACTGATACCAGCTGAACACAGGAGCCCATATGAGGTTCTTCTCCTACCTCGGGGCTGGTTCTAGTTGGTTAGGTAGAAGATGTGAGGTCAAGCCATAGGCCCTTGTAATGTGGGGTGGGGGTAAGGTTTGAGGCTTTCACCTCCATCATTTACATAAAACTGCATTTGTCA